GTCACAGACTCCAAAAAATAATCGTGAAAATATCATACTTTCATACTGAATATCGAGAAAACACTTCATACAGTGATTATTGGACCTTTAAAGAGTATTCTTAGGAAGTTTCAGCTGAATCCAAGTTTGAGYGATTTTCGTCGTRGTAACACTTTAATAATGTTATAAAAATAATGTTTGATTTTAGGGTGTAGTGTTCCTTGATGTGATATCATCTGAGGAATATGACCCACTTCTCTTGAATGCCAACCGACCAGCACCGCTCAAGGTCAGTGTTATAATTAATATACTAAGGCTGCGTTCATAATTTATGGCAGAGGGAGGGGGGCAGGTGAAAATTTAAAATGCCCAGAATAATTCTTAACACCCCCCCCCCTTAAAGTCATGCAAAGAAATATGATCCCCCCTAAGCAAGGCTTGTAGCTTCTTCCAAAAATTGTGCATCCCCCCATTTGTCTGATAAAAATTTGCCCATCCCCCCCTTTCACCTACCAAAATTTTCCAGATCCCCCCTCAATTTCACCTGCTGGCCCCCCTCTGCCATACATTATGAACGCAGCCTAATTAAGAAGTTCGCTTTAGGTAATAAAGCTTCTCAGCCCTCCCTCTTTCCCAGGAGGGGGGTACTCTTGCTCCTTTAGGGTAGGGATGTGCGGTGTGAGTCCTCTGAACCCTGAAACAAACAGGGTATGGTTTTCAGYGATTTTACTCTGGAACAGGGTATATRAARTCGCGCTCGCTCTGGGACAGTGTATGTGAAATTACTCTCTCTCCTCTCTGGAACAGGGTATCTATTTTCACATACAGGAACTGGGTATGGTTTTCAGMGATCTTGCTCTGGAACAGGGTATGAATTTCAGGGATTTTACTCTGGAACAGGGTCAGGGTTCAKAGGGCTCAGCGGCACATCCCTACCCTAAACGGACAAGAGTACCCCCCCCCCCAGGAACTTGTCATCTTACGTTGCCCGATTTAGGTGGGTGGGGTGGGGTTATATGGTTCCCACATGCACTGCTTTTGGAAGTCTTAAAAATTCTTGTTTTTTTCTTAACCTTTCGTCTCATTGATCCACAGGCTATAACTCATGAATTAGATGACTGCTTAATAGCCCAAAGAAAAACCGAAAGAAATGAAGATAGAGCTGTGATTCGATGTGCGACTGGTGAAATTAAAACTGACAAAGAAATAGAAGAGCTTTATCTTCCTAGTCCTCCTATGGTACCCCTCGGCAGACATGGTGTGCAGTGTAAAACCTGGCTTAGGATGCAGCTTCATGATATTGATAGTGATGTACGAAAACGTAGTGGGTAAGTTTGCGCTATAAATGCAATCTCCACACCAATGCAGGGCTGTAACCAGGGGGGAGCACAGGGTGCACGTGCACCCCTCCCCTATAAAAGCTTAAGGTCCACTCATCTATCTCCTTTTGCTTCAAAATTGCATGTAAATGTTTTTTGTTTGAGTAGAGACCACACTTTGGTTCTACTATTTTTTTGAGGGGGGGGGGGGGGGGGGGCTGGGGGGTTAAAAATGAAGTTGCACAAAATGATGATGGAAATCGTTATTCGCGTTTAACCGAAAACAGAAACAGATTTCTGGATTTCTTAAATTTTTCCGACTTTGATAAGACCTGATATATTATTTGGTATTTTTTTGCAGACAAAGAATGATTGGCACTCAAAACCATGGCGCTATAGACTTTGAAGAAATCAGCCAATCCAAGGCATCCCCAGAACTTCTTGACGTCGAACTCCGTGCACAAAAGAAAAGACAGTACCCCGAAAAACATGCTTCAACTGTGGACTTTGAATGGCCAGAACTTCCAAGCATAACGAAGACCTCTTGTCACCCTCGAATACCCAATGTATTACCATTTGCTAGTAGTTTTGACTACTATCCTGAGTATTTTAATCTCAGCGCTAGTTTTTAAATTAATCAATCACTGAATTTAAAAAAAATAGTTTATTTTCCTTTTTGCTGTAGTTTATTTTATATATCTTTTTTCGTGGGGATGTACCTATGGGCAAAAAAAGTTTCCAATGCACTCCCGGAAAATCTTGAAATTGAGAGCCTTGGAAATGCGATTTCTAGAGTTTTGAGGCTGGACATTTATGGCATTTTAACAAGGAAACTGCCTCCCTTGCCTGATAGTTGCTACGGCCTTTCAAGAAAACAGCTTTCGTGAAAATAAAACGGTTTTATCCTTCAAAAACGTCAAATTATTATTGATGACCCTACACTCTGTACCCCAAAGTCTTGCCCCTGCCCTCCCCCCCCCCCAAATACAAACGTACTTTCCCTAATTAACTTGATAAGCCAACCCCCATAATTTTTCTTTAATCTAAAATTATTTTAAACTTAAATTTGAATTGCTTTGTTGGTTTTGGAATTAAATGTCTTTACAATTTCTAAAAATAAACTGAAATATTGAATTATGAAGAAAGTTTGGTGGTTTTAGATGAGTTAGCGAGGTCTGTACGCGTCTCGGTTATGCGATAATTTAAAGGAAAACTTGAAGACATTAGACATAGATGTGCCAAGGGCGGATCCAGGGGGGGTCGCGACCCCCCTGTCATTCCTGAGGTCAAATGGGCTTCCTGTGGTAAAAATGCGACTGGGATTCCTTTGCCCACAAAATTTACCCCTGAGACCCCCCTTCAAAAAACCCTGGATCCGCCCTTGCACAGACTCGGAAGAACACGCATGAGATGATCAAACGTGGTATTCAGAAGGGTTAGCCCATAAGTAAAAATCTATTATCCATGAAGACGATCAATTCGCCGACAAATATTTCTTTACTGCCTGAAGTAACTCTTCGCAAAAAATGATAAGTTGACAAAATTTGACGGGCGCGCTTTTCATCACGTATTGTTTGTTGGCGCGCTTATTATTCAGAGAAAATTGTAGAACTAATGGCTTTACATATTCTCTTGCTCTTGTCTTGAATTATAGACTAGCTGTTTTCTTTTATTAGAAGGCATATTGTKAAGAGCTAGAGTTGAGCTGAGTTTACACATACCGACATTCCTTTCTTTAGAGTGTATAAACAAAAAGAGCAAAAAGCTTTGTCTTGCTTGTTTGTTTTAGTTCACAAAAGCCCACCAAACGACGCGCAAATACGCATATATTATTACACATATTCTAACTCAAGAAGATGACAAAACTTAGACAGTTTATTCTGATATTAAAGGCGAAGGGCGTCGACAGGGGTCGAGAAAACAGGTGATTCAAACGACACGCAAATGCGCATACTAGATTATTACAGATATTCTAACGTTATAAGAAGACTACAAAACTTAGATAGTTTATTATTCTSATATTAAAAGTGAAGGGCGTCAAAAGGGGTCGAGAAAAAATTGGTCAAATGGTCCCTAAATAAATTTAAAAGATGTGAAGAACATTACTGTAAAGCATGGTTAAYATTGTTAATTAACTGTGCTTCAAGCGGAGAGAAAAGAGTGGAGAACAAAGAGGTGATTAATGCATTACAGTAAGATCTCTTTTTGCGTCTGGTGTTCAAACACACTGTACTTCCAAATTCCTGCATATTTAGTTTTCACAGCAAAATTTTGACTTATTTTAACGAAAATAAAGCAAAATGTAAAAACGTAATGTAATGTAAAAACGAAGTTATAAGATTTAGATTAACACTTTCAATAATATAGACTTCTTTTTTATTTGAAGAAAAAATGTTAATTAGGTTAAGATTTTTAGCTTGATCATTTGCGTTCTTGTCTCTCCTAACCTTAAACTTMACTTCTCTAAAATTTATCTAGTTTGCAATTAAAACTCACATTTTTCTACAAAATGATATACATTTWAAACTGATAATTTATATCAGTATTTTTGTATTAAAATTTAAGGGCATTTGAATCGATAAATTAAGGTTTAAGATTCGTTTATTATATGATGAAATGTCAAGTTCTTATAACATGCATGCCTATTGTTGAACTTCGTGGTCATGTGGTTTTTGTTGGTTTTTACTTGAGCATCAAACAAATTTACTCAGAATGCTTTCTACCTTCGCCGGGGTATGACTTTCAAATCTTTGCTCTCCATCGCTTTTTCTACACTTCTAACGATGGAAAAGCAGTACGTACCATGACTTCGATTTTCAATATTTCTGTCGAAAATAAGTCGATATTTTGATGCAAAGATCAATTTTTAGCCCCAAGAAAAGATGGCTCAGAATAGTGCTCAGAATTCCATGTCAAAAGACCACGAGTACGACCTCAAACTGAAGGAGAAATCGAAGATTCATAGCAATTTACAGSAAATCTTCAAGACATGAAGGTTTCCCAGGCATCAAACGGTATAATTTTTTGATTTTCCTCAATCAGACGGAAATGAAGATTTAAGACCAACAACTTCCACGTGCTCTAATGAAGTGTAATGAACTGGGTGTTGGCGCCAAAATCGACCATGACCAGAGCAAAAGAAATTTAAAGGTAACGAAGAGGAAAATTACTCTAAACTATTCCTGTAACTCGCGAGGAAGTCTTCATGGAGTCGAAGAAGAGGAATCGAAGTCTTGTTRATAATATTTCCGAATACAAACCAAGGCTTTACTTCAAATTGGTGATGCTGGAATGCATGTTTACGAAGAAGGCTAGCAGAATGCCTTAAAAAAGCTTTTTAAGCTTCATACTTTTTCAAACAAGAACTTTACAAGTTATGAAAAACAGAAAAGATCTAAAGAGGCTGTCTTCTCATCGTGCAGTTTGGAAAAAAATGGTGAGTTTGATTTCTTGTTTGTTAAAAAATTAAATATGCTTGTTGCTATGTTGTATTGTTTATGCAAAGAAAGAAAACTATATTGAATGTTATTAATGTTGCAATGAATGTAAAATAAGAATACTAAAATGTTTAAAGATACATATATGATATCTAGTTGTAAAATGACCTATTAAACCTAAGTTGCTCATTTATATTTAGTAAAAAAAACTGATGCTAATGAGTATGCTAATTAAATAAAGGCATTCTATAAATTACTCTTCCGTTGACCTAGCTCGAATATAATTTTATAATCAGTTACGAAGCCAATGCTGTGGAAAAGACAGAATTATGCTGTGAATCCTCGAAATGAATAAAGATTAATAATTGGAAGGCATGGTTAAGGATTTTTAGATTAATACTTAGTCAGAACCTTAATCCAAAAGTAAAGGTTATCCACACAGGACAAAAGGTCAGCTCCATTACGAGTTCAATACRACTCCAGCATATGATACAACCACATGGCTCGAGGCACAAGCCYGGTTCGTTATTGATGTTCTGAACTTTCAAATTTGATTTCTATGTTCTCCGTAATTTATTTTTACCTTCTCTGGTTTATTTGATTTATTCTCCTCCTCGAGAGGGGGAAAAAAAAAAAAAAGAAAGAAAAGAAAAGGAGACAGAAAACTAAGAAAAGTAAAAAAATTATAAGAATCAAGAGGTACACGGTTATCAAGATTCTGCCCTGTATAACGACTTTAACACCATGACATGGCGTTGAAGTCAAGCCGTGCAACCCTTTTGGAAACAGGACTACAAGATCAGACTAAGAGATGAGAGCTAAAGTTTAAAAGTTCATTATTTGTTCAAGATCCTCGACACAAAAAGAAACATTYGATAGCCCTGAAAGAGACAAACATAAAGCAGTACATGCATATATATACTTATCATTTGAAGAATTGGGTASGCAGTTATTAGGAGTGAGTTTTGTGCTGACTACCTGTACCCCATAACAAGTCCTACCTGTAAACTCATGTATCTCAATGGGTTTTTTAAAATACTCTTTGAAGATAGCTCTGAAAGTGAAAAAGGAGGATAAAGAACTTTTTTTAAAKTAACACTGAAAAAAAGTATRRCYATAGAAAGTTGAGGGAGTTTATTTRTTACCTCCTCTCATGCCTCTTGCAATTTGTTTTGTCATTGAAACTCCTACTACTGAAAAGACTTCTATTTGCTATAAATGTTTTGATGCCTCTTCAGGTGATCAGAAAGGTTGAATGTTTGGCGCAGACTCCACAGTGGTACACTTTCTTTTGTACATGTGAGCATACAGCCTAAGCAAATATAAACGTAAGCCATTAATTTGCTTGGTTAATACTAACACAAATAAAGATTAATGAAGATACATGGCTTTTAAAATATTTTTAAAGTAACATGGATAAAAAAGTAGAACTTTATAAAGTTCAGGGAGTTGATTTCTTACCTTTTCGAATTGCTGGGTACGTGTTTTTCAACCCATGTTGGAGAATTCATGGTTCTCCTTATGAGTCTTGGAGCCTGGTGTGGTTTCGCAGGACATGATTCATTGTAGAGTTATTTAATACACGTCACTACACATTTATCCTGTAAAATGATATACAAAGAGTTGTCCGTTTTCTTGTCGTTCAACATATTTACTCCGATGGGTCTATCCATGACTTTTCTTAACGCTATGGTGTAAAAAGGCCACGAATAAAAAATCGTGTCRATTTCCTTCTTTTCTATTGCATCTTTTATCATCGATCTTACCAGAATTTCTTGGGTACCATCTAAAATATATTTTTTCATCTTTAGAAAGAGGAAAACCTTGGTTAAAATTACAAAAATAATTTAGCTAATAATAGCTTAAGTATCTTACAAAACATATATTCGTGTCACCTCTTTTCTCGGATATAACTGAAAATATAGCATAATAACGTTCACTGTTCAGGAAAGCAAAATAAATTGCTATAGCTGAAGAAAAATTGTTCAGACGATGCTTATGAATGTTCCTCTTTTAGTCTTGGTCTTTAACTATGACTTTCCTTCTTTTGGTCTTGAGTGTAAGGCATAGGTCCTTCATGGTGGCTTTGTCAGCTGTTGGAGGCTTACAAAAAGCAAAAAAAAAAACACTCATGTTTAACACATTTAAACATTTATTTTAAACTCGTCATAGATCAGTGATGTTACAACTTTAGATACTTAAAAAACACTTATACGTTTGAAAAAAGTTCATTGATCATCTGGTACGATCAACTTCTTCCTTTTCTTTTCACTTCCTCCTTCTACTGTCATGCTGCAGACATCTCRGGTTGCACACGGTTCGGTCATCGAACCAACTTCTACCATTTCTACTCTATTCATCGTGAGCCAGTTTGAACGGGTCTTCTGACTAGGGAGCTCATCTGCCCACTGGAAAAACTTGCATTTTTTGTCGGCAAAATACCCTCTTCCAGGGTTTTTCTTACTCCTTGACACATGGAAGGTAGCGGGGCAATGGTGTTCACATACTGAATACCTTGTTTCTCTATAAAAACGGTTCGTAGAAGCTTCGTAAGCATCAACGTATGYGCTCAATCTCTCTGGATTCGTGAAGAATCCACACACAGACTCCCTTTAGACATGTACTGCACTCCTTGGCGGCTTGTGTA